GTATCTCATCTGGACTAAATACCAGAGCTGAATGCATCTATTTATGGCAGATGCAGCTTCATCCTTGAATTTCCAGATTTAGATCACTGCTGTCCTTTCTCATTTGTTTTCTAAAGTGGCAGCTTTTATAAGAGTAACTAAAGAAAAATGGGTTTCATATGGGAGACAGAGTTGGGAGACTAGTATACCCTTCTCAGTTGCAAGAGAACCTTTGAAGTCTAAATTTAGCACATATGTCAACCCTCAATATTAACACTGTCCTATGAGTGAAACTAGATTCACAAATAAAGCCTAAGAAAAAAAATTTTAAATGCCAAGCTTATAGTTCAAGCTATCATTATTCAACTGTAGCATCAAAACTATGCAAAAAAGTTTAAATTTAAAAGCTACTTTTAAGAATGCCCAGTTATTTTTCTGATCATAAATTTTGGCATTGACTCTAATACTTAAATTCCATCAAAACTGCCCCTTCATTGTCTTTTTGAAACCTTCAGATTTCAGACCATATTCCATATTCCGCCATAGAACTAGGCCATGCAAAAAATAAATACACACACATAAAATTTTCCTGTTCTGGCAAAAAAAAAAAAAAATATGTATCAGTTTAGAGTATTTGAGAAACTATGAAGAATCCTTTAAGTCAATATATATTTCATGTCCTCCATTTGAAAGCAGCCATATTTAAGAGAAGTTGCCTTCCAATAAGTTCAGTTGTACATCGCCACTGTTACTTTTGCCCTTTTTGTGCCAGATTTGTTTTTACTCTTAACCACTTCTGTACGGCGCTCACCAGCCTTGAAACCTTGCCCACAACCGGCACTCACCGTCCGCAGGGTAGTTTTTGCTGTGCATTGACGACAGATCCGTTTTGCTCTTGTGTGATGAGGAAGGCTTTAAAGCACTGAAAGCTTGTTTTACTTTACAGGCGGCTTTACTTGTAATGTAAATTAGAATAGGTAACATATACATATATGTTTTCATGACGTTATTTTTATTTTATTTTATTTTATTTTATTTTTTTTTATTTTTTGTTATTCCAACAAAGCCTCCAAATAAATGACGTTATTTTTAAATGCTCACAATTTTATTTTGATAAATGAAAAATTAGAAAAGTCGTATCACGCCCATCTGCTAAAGTCGCTGTGTGCGTTCATCTGTGGCTGTCGACTACAGTCGACACTCGTACCGAAGTGGTTTTGAGAATGACAGAAGATACAAAACCTTTGAAACATCATTTATCTCTTAGACTTTCACCTTCCTTTACAAAGGAGTTATGTCTCCTTCCAGTTATAGAACAAGATGGTAAAGTTACTTGGAATCTGGGCCCCTGAAATTTCTCCCTTTGTTTTAGATCCATTTCTGAAAAAATCTGAGAGGAAAAAATCATGAACAGATACCAGATCATTTATGTCAGTTTATGCAGGTTTGTAATGTGTATGCAAGATAGCACCAGAAAACAATCCAAAAATGAAATTAAGATAATTTCATTCACAGTAGCAACAAGAAAACTAT